GGGTTTAGGGTTTAGGGTTACTGCTTCAGCATTTTGCATGGCCTGTTCCTTGGCTGCTTTCTCTGCAGCAGTTTTGTTCCTCTTGGGCGGCCTTGGCTTGGAGTGCAGCTTGCTCCTCAGCCGTAAGTTTGTCAGCATCATTCTCTGAAGCCCCCGAAGCCGCCGAAGCCATCAGGGCGAAAATCTGGCGGATTGGATGGTTGGTACCCCTTGAATGCTGACGCAAGAATACGCTGTTGTTGAACCGCTTCCCGCAGCTGCAAGCGTAGCTGTCAGGATGGCAGATTCCTTGGTGTTTCACCAGCTCCCTGCGACTTTCACCCGTAAAGTGGCAACACGGACACAGCTGTTCAGGGCCGACGGACAAAACCGTAAACCACCAAAACTGCCCTAAACCATGAGCTGTGTTTTGAGTTGCATTATTTGATTACCCTAAACCCTAAACCGATTATGCTCTCAAGAATATAGAGGCTGGACAATTAGCAGTATTGTAAGTCATCCGACGCTTCTGCTGCTCTACACCGTGTGCACTATGGCATGCTACTTATGGGTTTAAGGAATTATAGGCTTTTTGGTTTTGGGCGTAGGGCATAAACCCTAAACCCTAATCTCGTTCATCGTCTGAATCTATCTCCTTCGGCACCTCATGTCTAGCAACCTGCACAATCTTCGGGTTTAGGGTTGCAAAGCCGGGCTTAAAGGGGTGGGGGATTCAGGGTCTTAGGGACTAGGCTGTAGGGTCAGGCCCGGGATTCCAGGTTTCAAGTTTAGGGTTGGTTTAGGGTTTAGGGTTTAGGGTTTAGGGTTTAGGGTTTAGGGTTTAGGGTTTAGGTTTTTGGGGTTTAGGGTTTAGGGTGTTAACTACGTAAAAGACGAGGGACGCTTCCGCCGCTCGTCGTAGCCGATCTTCTTCACGAACAGTCCAAGCTGGTGGCCAGGCTAAGGATGCGTAATGTAGGGGCCTTAATAATTAGAATAGGCTTTTGGGGGTCCATTATACTATATATAGTTATAATAACCCCAAATAATTATGATAAGGGTTTTGGGGTATACTATTCTACTCTACTTTCATTACGGAACCCTCACAACAGTATTGGTAATGATTTAGGCCCCTATCTTTAGGGTTTGGAGCTCAGGGTTTAGAGATCAATGTCTGGCTTGGAATTCAACCTTTGGAGATCCTACAGTTCGCAACTTACGATTTCCCAAATCCCAAACCCTTAAGCCCTAAACTCGTAACCCTAAATCCTAAAATCTAAACTAAACACCAAACCCTAAACTCTAAACCTTAAACCCTAAGTGGAGGAGAGTGAGCCTCCGTCACGGGCAGACTCGACCTAGTCGACGGTTGAAACAACGCAGAGATCGTCGAGGGAGTCATTGAACCGAGGATGCCGAAGGCATCGGGATGCGGAGAAAGCAACCACGGCCTTCGATCTCTCGATCTGTGCCGCGGGCCACGTCACATCACAGCATCGACACAGTACGGAAACCACGGCCTTCTGCAGCAGGAAGCTTGTCCAAATGAACGCCCACTAAGCCACTCACATCTGTCTGAAATGTGGCTTCACTCTTTGCCGATTCTATGTCATGTCCTTGGAGCACCTCCTGTGGCTGCACGTATTGCAGTTCGAATTGTTCTATCCCTCGTAAAGCTTTCCGTGCCCAGCGGCCGCGTCTGATCCTCCCGGTTCGCCAAAGCTGTACTAGTAGTACTGGCACTATCCAAGTGACCGCGACTCGCCTCTGCTCTTATACCTCGCAGCAACAACCACCTATCTGCACTGAAAACATCTTCAGCTCCGCCAATCAGCTGGCACGACATGTCTTCTCCTAAATCTTGAAACACGCACAAGCGACGATTCAGCGCCTCTGCCAGCTATGCAAGCTCTTCCACACTGGGGAAGTATCCCGCTTGCCCCGTGCCAACAACGGAAATGTAAGCATCCCAACACTTCGACAGGAAATTTGCCGGCATGTCGCTCGGTTCCGTGTCAAGCAAGGAGTCATTTGCAAGCCTAGCCATATCTTCAACTCCGTCCAAACATGCCAAGCCCTGAGCCGAGGCTATCGGTTCAGGGTTGAAGGCAGGCCTTCGCGGTCCTGGCTGGGGTCCAGAGAACCCAAGAGCCCTCAATGTAGAAGCCCTATCATTTCTTCTTTTAGCCCTAAACCCTAAACCGTATAAGGCTCCCTGTTTCATCTCTGTTGGAAAGTACCCCAACAGCCTGTTCTATTTACGGAAGGCCCCTATATAAACTAAGGAATAGTCTTTATTCAACTTACGCAGGGCTTCTTATCGCGAGTCTTAGTCTTAACTCTTGTTTAACCAATAGAGGACTTCGGGTGATCTAAGAGTATTGCCTAGTTAAGGGGCAGTGGCTGCCCTTTAGGACCTGTAATGGAAGTGCCTTAATACTGAGAATACGGCTTTTGTGCTACAATTATTCGGCAACAATCATATGTGGCCATGAAGGGACAATCATCGCTCAGTATTCCGACCCCTAATTTGCGACTCGTTAACTGAAGTGCACTTATCACATATCCCCATGTTCCTTGGCTTAGAGTTACCGGTCAATAGACAATTCCGACTGCATAGCACTCAAACCCTGGATCCTAACTCCGAAACTGTATAAAACTCTAAGCCCAATAGCCTACTGCAATGGCCGAGATGAGAGCTCTGTCCCCCAAAAGCAAGACTTGGTCTCTTAGGATGAGCCTGCTGACACTTACTACAGTTCAGTGTTTAGGGCTTTAAGCTCAGACGATCTGGCTTTAGAGTTCACAGCTTCGAGTGCAAAGCTTAAAGTTTACAGGTTTTGGGGCTCCAACCTGTCAATGAACATGGGCCGAAATCATAAGAATGGGGTTTAGGGCTTAGAGTTTTAGGGTTTATAGTGGACATGTTTAGGGTTTGAGGCTCCAGCCTGTCAACCATTACCATGTAGCGAAACCATGAGAATGGGATCTTATCGGAAGAAGCCTCGCAAATTGCTGTGGGTCTTACATGCGATGTGCATCATGGTGTTTATTGGGATCAGAACGAGTTATATAAACAAAACAATACTTATGCCTGTGTACATGTACATGCACCGATGTATGTACATGTGCTTGCACATCTCTCTTTCTCCATAATATATATATATATACACATAC